AATATCTTTATTCATTCTGTAGTCTGTAAGCCAGAACTCCGATCAGCCTTGAGGAGAACTATTTGGTTTGCTGTTGGTTTTTTTCGGATTCCGTTTCTGTTTCTTGGCGGTTGTTTTTCTATTTTTTGCAGCACAATTACCAGGCAGAATTTATGGTCGGAGCGTTGCGGTGTAAATCTTTAAGTACTCATGGCAGTAGCCCATACCCATACCCGATGCCGCATACCCGATACCCCATAGACAAGGTTCGCATCGCCTAATGCGATTTGGCCCTCCACTTCTTCGGACGGTGGGGGGGGGACAGACCTCACTGCAGCTTTATGACATTCGTTTTGGTTGTGGTTTTGGGACTGGAGTGGAGTGGAGTGGAGTGCAGACTGTAGGCCCTCTTCCATCTATGGTTCATCAATTTGCGGTGCGTTTCGGGGCATCAGAGGCTGCCACTGCCACAGCGACTGCCACTGCGACTGCGGCATCGTTAGCTGCATTAGACGGATCGATGCCATTGATCGATGGGTCTGCTTTCAGCCACTAAATCATTGTAATTTTCACACGCTCCCAGAGCACAAGGGGGGAACCACTCGTACACAAAGATCACAGAGTTATTAGAAGAGTCTGCGGCTCCAGCTTCGACTCCGGTTCTGGCTCTGGCTCTGGCTCTGACTCCCCGAAGCGTTGAAGATTGGACTGTGCCTTTGCCTTTGTTCTGGTTTTTATGAGGGTAAATGTTTATGGCTGCACGAAAGCAGCAACACAGAATAAAGGCAAGAAAGGAGCAGCTTTAGATTGGAATTTGAGTTTCCTTTAAGAGTTTTCGACTTTAAAAAAATAAACAAATAATTTGTTAGCCATTTTAACAAATGCTTTCTATAATATTTGGTGTATTTTCAAAGAGTTTATTTGCCAAACTATTAAATGCACAACATTGTACCAGCCATGGCAGCGACTTTTTCGACTCGCAACTGGTTTTCTGGCTTAACTGGTTTCCAGCCAAATTTCTATACTTATTTATCATTATTATGCGCCATTATCATCCAACCAACGCCTCATCAAACTTCCACCCCGAGATCATAGAAACAAACCCAAAAGCCATGTTTTTAGAAATTATTTGTACGTCCAAACACCAAACAGCGAACAGCGAAAAAAAGCGAAACTTCAAGTACGAGCAGCAGCTGGTGTTTGCTGCTGCTGCAGAAAGAGCTACGAAAAAAAAAAATCAATCACTTTCACTGCCGGCTCAGCCAGGCCAAAGAGAGTTTTGTCATAGTCGTTGGAGGAGCCTATTCGGGGTTGGCTTTGCTCCTCTCTCTCTCTCTCTCGCAGTCTGGTCGCGCGCTGCCGACAATTTTTTATTGCTGCTTTTCACCCATTTACGCGATCACCCGAAGCGATCTCTAACACGTACCACAAACAGAAAACAAATAAAAATAAATAAATAATACAAATAAATAAAAGAAGGCCAATTTTTGGTAAACTCAACTTAAAGATGTATTCCAATTACTTGCTCAAATGAATAGTACCCTCACTGGTTAGGGTATTGCAACGTAAAAGAAGTTTAACTGAAGCCACAACCGAAACCAGTTTCGGTTTTTTATTTCGAATGCAAAAGGCAGACAAAGTCAGAGACACCCACCCGCACCCGGCGCTGGAAAATTATGCTACTTGAACGTTCACTGAACCCACGATCGCACTATCTACGAAAGCTATATACGAGCTCCTACTACTGGTATATCTCTGCTGCTTTCTGGTTTATTGTCAAAGCTGTCAAGTCAAAAGTTCACCAGCGAAAAAACAGTTAAACAGGCCACAGTCAGTCTATGCTGCAATAATCGCCTCAGAACGCTTCAAACGAAGTTTTTGGGGTGTAGGTCTCGACATCCAGCGGGTTAGTCTCTTTCTGGCAAACGCAGCTGAGAAAAGTTTTCGACTTAATGGCCACTTTGCTCATTATAAGCCAACTAACGGCCGACTGAGTCGGGGGCCAAATCTCTTTGTGGTTTCTGCGGTATTTACGGCCTTTGTCGCTGCAGTTTCTATGGCAAAAGGCAAAAGAAGGAGGAGCCCTGCCATTGTGTGGGTCTGCCGCCTGTGGGTGCCTTTCAATTTTCACAAATTGTAATCTACTTCAAGCCGGAAAAGCCGCTCAAAGTTAGCGGCCACAGAAACCAGAGCAGTGTCGCTGTGTCGGGAAAACTAAATGGAAAATAAGCCAGAGATACGATACAGTGCGGATTAGTTTTGATTAAAGCCGGAGGTTAAACAAACATAAAAACAGTGCAAAAATATTCCCCTAAATTAGGGGTTTCCATTAATAAAGTTCTGTTTGATTTTCTTTAATAAAATATATAAAAATAAAACATTGATTCCGCACATAGGCCAAAGGAAAAACCTTCTCCTTTTACCATTCCATTTAATTAGCCCACGCAAGTCGCTTCCTTATCGCCCCCATGAAAAATCACATAAAAATAATGTGTGATTTATAAATAAAATGCCTATTTGGCATTAAATTTAAGAGCCTGAACAGGGGATTTCTGTGGGCACACCCATCCAGAACCCAGAGCTAACAGAGCTGCCAGAGGCCGAGCGACCAATCGACAATTAGAGGCCCAGTTAGAGCGCCGAAGTGTTTGAGCGAGTGACTCAGCCAACACTCGGAGGTCCACCACAAAGCGCGCACTGACCCAAATTGTGGCCAAAAAGAGTGTGTAAAAGCACTGGGGCAGAGGCAGAGGAACGGTAGAACGGTAGTGGAGAAGTTAGGGCCATAAATCTAAAGTGCTGGACAACATTTCCGGAATTTTGATGCATTTCACTCTGAGGCTTGTGAAACTGTGGCAAAGACTTTGCGTTAATAGAGTGTGAAAGAATGTTGGCTGCTGACGTTGCTGCTGCTGTTGCAACCGGAGAAGAGCCAAGCTAACAATTAAGTGCCAGACGAAGCTTAAGTGCCCTTTCCAGAGCTACTTACTGGTCATCTCTTGTGAGAAAATGAGTCAAGAATAATGAGAAATGAGAACTAGATTTAAGTGGAATCAGCTGTGGAGAAATGGTTAGGAATTTAGGGTAAAGCAGTGCAAGCTTGGCATAAGGAAAGATATCATTAATTTTAGAGCAAATATTAGACATTTGCAGTACTGACATCCATGGCATAGGCTAAAAAGCCCACAAGAAAAAGAGAAGAGATTCCGCATGCTCTATTTTCCAGTGTCTGTTAATTGGCCTCCGTGTTAAGTTACTCTTATTCTGTACATGTTGATGATTTAGTGTGTTAAATGTTTCTCCACAAAAGTGAGAAAGGAAAGCACAAGCAAAACAAGCCCCGGGAAGGCACATATGCCCCATAAATGACATCTCCATCGTTTGGGGTTTCTATTTATTTATTGAAGCGAAATTCTGTGTACAAAAATGTCAGTTTGTGTCTCTCGATTTGATTGAATTTTGTTTAGTAGGGTAAATCTTTTGCATAACATTGACACAATCCACACGACAAGGCAAAGCCACAGAAGCCAAAACCAATACATAGTATTGGACCCTAATGTCCTTACAGAGAGAAAAAAGGCACAAAGAGGGAGCGCTGGAGGACCATTGACAGTTCTAAATGTAATCGAAACCACAGAGCCAGCAGCAGCTGGGCTGAGAGTAGGGGCTGGGGCATAGTAGGACCGAGCCACCATCACATCAATCAAATACATTTTCCTTTTTCTGTTTGCTTGGCCAGAGATTGTTCTTTCTATACACTAATTTTATCGATTTCTGCCGCAGTTCGTTGTGGTTCTTGTTGCTTGTTTGTTTGGCTTACATTTTAAATGGGAAATTATGTAAATGAAACTTTGGGTTGGATGGAATTCGATTTTGTCGACTATTGCCGGAGGATTTGCTTTGCTCTCTCTGTGTCTGTTTGCGTGTGTGTAAAAGGGTTTTCCGCTCTGCCAAATGTAAATAGCTTGTAGGGGGCTTGGTGATGCGATGAAACTTGATCCTTCAAATAATGAAGCCTCAAAATAACAAGTGTTTGAACAGCAATAAATGTGGCAAGTGATTTGCATGCAAACCCTACGATTCGGGTTTATTAATTCATTAATTTTTGTGCCTCAAACAATTACTTAATTACTGAAAAACTTATTTTGCCCCTGAAGCACCAGACAAACATTGGCTGTTTTCCCAAGTATTTTTTCGAGTGGAAATGGAAGCAAGAGTCTAAGCAGTCACTTGAGAGTAAACATACCGTTGATAACACAGTTTACGTCATACGTGTATATCCGCTTGGAGTAACCCAGTGAGCCAGTAGCCGTCGCATAATCTCTTACTGCCTCTAATTTATGTTGCCATCTGGTTTGAAAGCGTTCCACTAATCTCTAAGACCAATTGCGGCAATTAATTAAATAGATAAGCGAATGTGAAACTATTAAATGTCAGCAGAGACAGATACCAAACAATTTTATCAATCGATTCAGACTGAGAATAGTTGGTGATAATGAAATGAATTCATAATTGCATTAAAATCACTTTTAAAATCTTCTTTAAGTAACTTCTAAATTAGTTTCTGATAAATGATCAACAATTTATTTCAGTTTTAATAAAGTTCCGCAACATTCTTGATAAGCTTGCAAGGGTTCTTCCAAGTTCCCAGAAAATATTCGAACGATAAGCGAGAGTAATAATCCAACTAAAAGTTGAGCAAAGAAACGTAGAAAAGAAACACCACAACAATACGACGACTACGAGTACGAGTGTATGCCTCAGTAATTATCACAAAAGGCGAGAAGCCTTGGCCTGCTCCAAGATAAATGCAAATGAAATGTAGATGAGCAAAAAATACACAAAGAAAACTGTGAGGGCAATTGCTGACAATATGTTAAGATAAGTCAACCAAGCTATTGTTTCATTTATCACGAACTTGGACACCGCATAAACGCAGCACGACATTACACGCCTGCTTGTCTGTCGCCGCCGCCGCCTTTCACTTTCTACACCAACAAATGCATTCGTGGAGCACTCACCTTTGATCCTCCAGCAGTTTCTCGGCTTGTGCCAGGCGCAGGCGCACCGTCTTCATGCTCTGAATGGGGAAGAGGCGACAGAAGCGCGTGAGGAAGGTGGGACGCCAGCAGAAGCGCGGATATTCGCGACAAACGTCCCACAGTCTGGTGTTGTGCTCGAAGAGATATGTGTGCGTCTTCCCGAAATTCAGATAGTCCGTCATGTCGGCGTAGTCGCAGTTGAGGAGATTCTTGAGATTCTGCACGGCCAGATCCTGGTCGTCGGGATCGCGCACCTGCTTGATGCCAAAGTCGAGCAGCGGCTCGTAGTGGTAGTAGTTGCCCGGAATGGAGTTGAGTATGTCCCCCAGGAAGGTGGAGCCAGAACGCCAGGAGGTGACCACGACACTACGAACGGGCGTGCCGTTGGTGGCCGGCGTCATGTCGCTGAGACGCTCGGCACCGCCGCGAGGATACTCAAAGTTCTCCATCTCGGTGAGGATGCGCGACCGTTGAGCCGACAGGACATCCACTAGAGTAGCTGTCAGGTTGTAGATGACCGTCTGCGAGGGCTGCTGCTGCTGCATCTGCTGCTGCAGGCGCTCGTAGAAGGAGTTCCTGCCCAGGGAGTTCGAGGGACCGCCATCGATGCCATAGGCGGCCGCTTGGTTGAGAGCGGCAGCCGCTGCCGCCGGCCCACCGCCCGATCCCTGGTTGAAGGGCGTCGTGAGTGGTCGATGCTGGGTGGTGGCTATCAGCAGCAGGATGCACAGACTGCCCACGCCACAGATGCCAATGAGATTAGCCCGGCGCGACATTCGGGTGCGTCGACGCTTCGAGTTCAAACTGACGCGCTGCTTAGCGCGTGTCCTGCCAGGATCGACGGTGGTATCACCAGCGTTGCCGTTGAGTAGCGCACACGACTCCAAGTCCGCATCCACTTCCTCTGTGCTCATTTGTGGCTGTTAATGCTCCACTAATTGCTGGCAATGTAACACTTTGCACTGTTTTGCTTCCAAACGCTTTATACATTCCCCCTGACACGCTCGCACTCGCACATACCGCACCACCACTTAGCTGGAGGACATTGCAATTGTTATTGTTGCAGACGCTGACCGTGTTTTTCGCGTTTATTGTGTTTTTTACGCGCTATTGACAAAAGTTTCCGCAGTACGCGTCCGGCCGAGTCCAAAATTTGTTAGTGATGGTCACACGACGATGAAACCGCATTGACCAGGTACTTCTGTTCGATGACGGGGCTATCGATATTTTCTTGAAAAGGGTAAGTCATGAAGCAATTATATAAGGAGGTCTCGTCGACTGCGCGTCTTCGTTTGTTTTATATCCCGTATTTCAGTGCTTCTGTGCTTGTCGAAGAAAACTTAAACTCACCTGCAATTTGCAAATGTCAACCCCATTCCATCAAGGTGTTAATCAGCACACTTCATTGTCGTTCCACTCACATTTACAGCGCTCAGCCCTTTCACTCCCACTTATTGACACCATTGTTAGGGAAGAAATTTTGGCGTCGGGACATCCCTATATCATTGCTTCATGGGGTAAGTTCTTCGATATTTGTTGATTAGTGATGCTATCGATGATTGTTGTTGAGGGACTCTTAAATCATATTCCTCGACTCTGATGTTCTATTTGATATTACCGCTTGCAAAGACAATTTAACACTGCAAGAATAATATAATCCGATTGAAGAATCAATTTGGATTATTATAAATACTCCATTTTATTGGTTTGCATACTTTAAGACCTTATATTTTACAAATTTTTATTTCAGACACCTGTATGTTAACTGATATAATGAACATTTTTGAAAGATAGCGCGTGTAACAAAAAAGTAAAAGAAATTCTATTGTTTTCCTGTAAGGGAAAGTTTGGGGGAAGTTTTTCTATCTTTGCAATTAATTGGGGCTAGACTCCGGTTTCTATGTTGGAATTACTCCTTTATTTTGCTAAGGAACACCGGATAATGATATAAATATCATCCTTATCGTCTTACTAATCACCGATTTCTTTGATTTTATTTATTTTCTTTTATTTCTATATACTATCTTTATTTTCTATTTTCAAATATCAATATATTTAATTTTATATTTTGCTGTTCGACCTTTCAAACACAATTCGCAAAGCATATTACTAGCTTGCAAAGACTTTTAACTCTGAATTAATAATTTAATCCGATTGAAGAATCAATTCTGTTTACTCCTTTTTATTGGATTGCATTCCTTATAACCTTATATTTTACACATTTGTATTTGTTGATGGTCAGGGAAATTCTCTGCTGTGTCTAAACGGTCAGGGAAATTCACTCTACCCTGCCCTGCCTACACACCATGCGCTTCTGCAAAAATTTATCGATTCACCACTTCAAAAGTTAATAATAAACGAGAAGGGACTTGTGAGACGCTTCTTACGCGGTACAACTTTTTTTTTTTTTTTGGGGTTTTAAGTTACCGCACTACCCTTAGGTAGAGGGGAATTATTTGGCCACCCGCCTTTCAAGGGGGAAATCGCCACGTCGTAATATGTAACTTGTTACAGGTTTGCTCCAATACTTACCTGGCGTAGAGGTTATGTTCCCCACGTGCTTGCAGTGTGCCCAGACACACGCTTATTAAGTGTGCGGTACAACTTTTAAATTTTCGTCATTTGGTCGCTTCCTCGTTTTAAATTCATTATTTTTATTCAGTTTACATTCGTTTCTTTAGTTAACACAGCATTTAATATTCCAAATTGTTTTGCTGTGAGGCAAAATATTCCTACTGTGAGGAATTGAGCCATTGAAACAGAACAAACTCAAGTCACTGCTCTCAGCAAGGGCAATGAGGGAAAGACCGCAGACAAATCTACCGGTAATGTTCGCCGGCTCCCCAAGCGCCTCTGCTCGAAGAAGAATACCACTGCAGGAGGCGTCAATCGTCTCTCCCGCAAGGGAAAGCCCGCTGGAGAGGCCACTGGAGGAGTCTTAAAGCGCAACGCATCGCAGGGGAAGGCCACTACTGGTAGACTGGGAAGACCACTGGAGGAGACTCGAAGCGCCCCTGCCGCAAGGCAAAGGCTACTAAAACATGCCATCTTCCAGATTGTCCTGCGCAGCGCCAACTCCAACCAAGCCTTTGCCAAATTCTAGCTGAATGATCTGGCCGGCAGCGGATAACTTCAGTACGGACAGCCAGACCTGCCGGGATGCGGCGCTGATCATAAAGTTCCTGTTGGTCCTCAAGGAGTGCATCCGTGCGCTGGAACACAAGGAGGCTTCCATACCCTTTACCTGCTCGTTCATTGGAAAAATAAATTAAAGCCCTGCATGATAGCCACAATATCGCGGGTCTGCGCTCAAAATTAGATTTTGTTTATCTTGGCTAGTTAGTTACAACTTTAGTTACAATTTAGTTGGAAATATATCACGAAATTTTAATTGTAACTAAAAATTTTAATTTATGGAAATAAATGCCCTGACAGGCGACTACACGAAGGTTTGATTCAGACTGATTCTACCTACTACCAATAAATAGGATTTCAAGGAACAAAAACACAATGACTTAAAACTCGAAGCTCACTGGTCTCCAGTAACATACAAAATATTACATTTGGGATTTGTGGTATCAACCCACCTTTGAAATTGTCGTCAGTTGCTCGCTTCGTCGTTTTAAATTCATTTTCTATTTTCATTCAGTTTACATTTGTTTTTATAGTTGAACACATATTTAAATATTCCAAATTTTAGCTCCGCATTATTATTATTTTTTTTTTTTTAATCGCTATAGCATTGGCCTGGTACTTCACTTTATGTTGAATATTAGAAAAAACTCACTGAAAATTTTGAACTCATAAAAGAGTTGTTTGCCGAGCGAACACCAGAAATGGAATGGCTCCGTATTAAATTTCTTGTAAAATTTTGTTAAAATTTGTGTTGTAAAAATGGATTTGCTTCCATAGCGCAGACGGTGACCGTTCAGCGATCGAACGGAGAAACCCACATGGCGTCCACCATTAGGCTGAATGGAGAGGATGATCTCGACTTCGTGACCGTGCAGTGGACTGATTCGGATGGCGACAAGGGCAAGGACGAGCATCTGGACCAAAGAATTGAAATAAATCCCCAAATATTTGCTCGCACGGAGGCCGTTCCGCCCACAGCTTCAGATGCAACGTCAGACCCACAACACGCATGCTAACGGAAGGAAATCCTGAAGCGGTACTCCATCATGGACACAGCGACTTTGGTTTGCTTCTTTCCCTGGAGATCCGTTCGTGTCGCCGGGCGGGACCCATGAAGGCCAACGGCATTATGGTCTGTGTGCGGAAGCATCGTCTCAGCCCAAGAGAGCTGGTCAAGCGGCAGGTGGACGTGATCAGAATGCAGCCGCCAAATATGCTGGTGGCGCATGCGCCGCGCCACCACGTGTACCTGGAGCGCACTTTTTGACGAGGATTGCTCGAATGTCAGCGTCGTCCACTGATCCGCTATCGGCGGCTATGGGTAGACGGGCAGCGGCAATACTCACACCATGGGGGGAATGTTCGAGGGAGAGAATCAGAACGTAATGGGCTGCACCAATGACATGACCGCCAACGGGGTGTTTTCTTTCTGCAGGAGGCAGGTAGTACCCGACGGGACCTGCACTTCGCCTGCAGTTTCTTTTAAATCTACAATACGACCACGAATCCACGACCTGCTTGAGCTAGGCAAGAGGCAGCAGCTGTGCATCCAAGAAGTATTACATCAGCAGGACGAGGTGAAGGACCGAGGTCCCGCCCGCGCCCTGGGCAAGACCTCGGCCAACGCCAAGTCCTCCAGCTCGCGGCAACTCCAACCAAGCCTTTGGCAAATTCTAACTATAGTACGGACAGCCAGAGTTGCCAGGAGGCCGCGGAAATCATCAAGTTCCTGGTGGTCCTCAAGGAGTGCATCCGTGCGCTGGAACGTAGGGTGGTTTCCATACCCTTTCATTGCAAAAATAAATTAGCCACAATAAACATCCTAAACAAGTTCCTTTATTTTCCTATATAAATGCAAATACTTATTCCCATTTCGATACTACCGCCACAAAAGCTGATTCCCTCGATAACATTCTGGCGCGTAAATTTCCAGTTTTTAACTCAAGGATTGTCGAGCAACGGCTGAAAGGTCTCGGGCAAGAAGCCTTCAAAGTCTTGTACCAGACGATAGCGCCACATGCTCATGGCATCCTTGCAGACACTCTGAATGGCTTTGATGTCCTCCGTCTTCATTTTGTACATCCAATCGAACGCCGGCTCATTGGAATGTCGCCAGGGAAACTCCCAGCCATCGACATCACGGTGAGCGCTGCGTGGATGAACACCGCGTATCACCTCCTTGGAACGCTTCATTGGCAGGCCATAAAAGTTGAAAATTGTCTGCATGGTCTGCTCGGGTTTGCTGACGAGGTCCTCGTATCGTGCGACGCTGTTGGACATTCGGATGAGGAGATGCGTAGAAGAAATTGGAGAGTTATTAACATACCCAAATCGATGTGGAAAGAGCCTCATGAGACTCATAGCCGTCTTGTAATCACTGGCCATATCGCTGCATAAATTTACCGCCTGGCAGTCCGGGCTGCTGGCACACCAGGCGCTTTTGGCGCGTGAGTACATTATGCCGCGGGGATCACGAATCAGCAGCATGATCTTCACATTGAGACTGGAAGGGAAAAGAAATAATGAATGAAGAATGAGGAAAGAATACTTACTCTTTTCGCTCCAACAGGGCACTCAAATACTCCAGCCTCAGATTGTACACGGCCATGTTGAGGAATGGATGAATTTTGCAGATATCCGCCATAACTTGTGCGTCCCAGCAGACATTCTTTGGATAGATCAGGCTGTTCTTCCACTGCACGCCATAGAAGCGTTGGAAAGTGGACGATTTCATGCCCCAGCTGAGCATTGGCGCCGACTTGTTGTAGTCGCATTTGTACAGCGCCAGAATCTCCTCCAGCGCCTGCTCATGCCGCTGTGCCGCATTCATGCGGTTCAGGTAGGCAATCAGTGGGGCATAGTGCTGATAGCAGCCCGGCTGAAAGGACAAATTATCCAGCAGCTTCAGAGCACCCGATCCCCTGAATGTAACCAGCAGCGAGCGTATGGGCTCACCGCCCGTCTCCAGCGTGTACTTGGTCAGGTTGCCCAGGTGGCGGGTCTTATAGGCGAGCATCGACCGTTGCAGCGTCACCGGATCGGGCATCAGCAACGGCAACAGCAGGAATATGAACACCGCATACGACACATAGATGCCAAAGCAAATGCAGGTAAATTTTGTGCTACGCGATAGCTGAACCATGATCGAAAATTTCTATTGGAAGTTTTATTTCTGTGCTTAACTGAAAAATTTGGTGTAAATCTCAAACTGTTTGCTGGTTTTGTGTTCTCACGAATGATTTACGTAGAAAACTAAATGTAAGGAACGCCTGGATATGAGTCAACTGTCAACCCAGACATTTTTCTCAAAACTTATACATACAAGAAATGCAAACTGGAGAGCGGGAAGTGCCTGTCTAACGACCGCAGCAATGGGTAAATAAATCCTCAACCTCCTCAACCAAAAAAAAAATAATAACAAAATACCTTAGCCTGAAAAAAGCGTTACTCTGGCTTTAAGAATTAATTGAAATGTATAATTAATCTAAGGCTACAATTTGGCAATCAAAATAATATACCTGGATGACATATAAATTCTTCATTTAAACAACAATTAATATTGTTTAAAACTCCATGTAAATGTTGTAAATTAGCCAACCGAAGCTCAATAATCTAGCCTTACAGAATATACTTAATAAACTCTATAAAGGAGCTGCTTAAATCTAATTTTAGAATTAAGAAATTCCTGACATAAAATAATTAAATATGTAGATTCAATGTTAACATCCAAAACTTTATTGGAATATCAGTTGTAGCTCGTTATATATGTATATTTGTTATATGGTTAATTGTATAAATTGATATTAATAAAACACTAGAATACTAATATTGCTAAATTATAATACGTACATTATAATATTTTATCTCAAATATTTATTCACTATGAGATATTCCCAACATGCTGCTGCTGCTGCGAATCAGAGTGCAATCCTTTTTGGAAAAATAAACAAAAGGTAACTGGGGGACTAGAAAAGAGTACACAGATCTCGAGAATTGTAATAAATATTCAATTGATTTCGATTCGCAACCAGCAGGCAGCAGCATACTGGGACTTTGTTCCGAGTAAATTTTGTAAAATTTCTATGGGATTTCTGGCACTGCAGAAAAATCGAACCTGTATTATGAGTCAATCAATACGTATAACTGGTATTAAGTCTGTTAATGCGGTTTAGTCTGTGTCTTTTACGCAAGGCAAGGGATGATTATGCTCATAGAAATGGGGGCGATGCGAGATATGGCCAGCTAAAATGCCAGCTAATAATGCTTACTATAAATGGAATATTTTTGAAGATAAAAAGCTTATTAAATGACATAGTCTACTGCGATCTATGGGTATTCCCGAGTACTTAAGTAAACTTATGCATCAACTAAGGAACAAGTTGATGGTGGGCCCCTATGATCATGAACTGCTGTACCTTGGGACCCCTGGTGTTGGGTGAAATTAATACTAACTGTTAATACCATAAATCTTCAATTGAAATGATCCTCCAATCCTCAATGCTCAATCGCTATTGCCTTCGGTCTCATCGTCCAGCAGTAAGCTTGTCGAACCATAGCTACGGAGTCTGCAAACACACAAAATACAGAATATGAACTATTTTATTTGCACAATATCGAAATTCAGAATAAATACCACCAAAAATAATAATACCAGAAATGAAAATAGTTAGTAAAAGATGCGAAGAGAACTGGGTTCCGTGCGGCTCACCTCATCGTCGGATACCTTGAGACCATCCAGATTGATGCTGTTCCTGGCATAGCCCTGCTCCTTCTCGTGCGCCTCGTACAGCTGCCGGTTCATCTCGTCCTTGCCGGACCCCGACGAAGGATTCCCCCCATTGGTCATGCACTTGAGCGGCAGCACGAGATTCGAGCGATTGGCGCTGCTGCAATTGCTGCTGCTCCCGGCACTGCCGTATCGGCCGTGCCCGTTCCCCGACCGCTGCCTTTGGTGGTGGTGATGGTGCGATCCATGGGGATTGTCGAACTTTTGCTTGGCCCGCTCAAACTCCAGATTCCGCGACTTTGACTCGAAAATGTTCTCCTCCAGATGCGTTGGTTTGGCATCGTAGAAGGCCGCTGCTGCCGCCGCTGCAGCTGCTGCCGAGGCGGCTGCGCTGCTCTGTTGCTGCTGCAGCAGCGTGCGTTCCGTATGACTGGAACGCTTCACAGAAGCCGCATGATGGACAGCCGCATCGCTGCCGTTGTGGGAACTGCGCATGCCCGCCTGCGAATCATCAAAGATCTGGCGCAGGTCATTGATATTCGGCAGACAATCGTTGGGCAGCTCTACGGCTATTTTATTCCTCAACTGAACACCACCCATGCCGCGCAGCTGCGGACTGGGGGCTCGTCTGTGGTTTAGTTTCGAGGGGTTACGAAGGGGGTGAGTGGTTAGCAGTGGATTAGCAGGCACCAGCACCAATGAAAAGTTAGTTTTAGTAGTTGAGTTATAGAGTAAAGACTTACTAATATGTACATGGGCAAGTGCGAGTCTCACCTGTTTTGTAAATGTTGAATTTGCACCTGAAACCCCTCTGTCTGGCCGACTAGTTCATCGTTGGAGCGCTGCAGACGCCGCACCTGGTTCACCGCTGAATCCAGTTCATCTTCGGCACCCGCTAGTTCCCGTTTCAACTCCTCCACACGCTGGCGTAGACGCTTAACCTGGCAGAAGAAAAGAGATGGGTAATATTTGCCATTATAGTTTAATTTGCTTCCATCCAGTCTACACACACACACACACACACGCCCTCTATCACTCTTCCATTCATCCATTCCAAGATTCCCCCCGCTTGGAAATAAGCACAATGGGCGTGCGCAGATAAGCTGCCGACCCCCGCCAGGCAAGATGCGATAACAATTGGAAACTTTTCCAGCTCCACTTCATGTTTATGTTCTATCGTCAAGTCCAAAATAAAATGTGTGATAATGTGCGGAAATTTAGGGGCCGCAGATTATGATCCGCGAGAGGACAAAAACAATTTTTGTGAGGTAAACAAGCACCATGGTGACGGGGTGGCATACTTTAGTGTCACTCTCTCTCGATTTGTACCAAAAACAATATTCCACTATCGAGTGAGAGCACATTCTGGGCATGTCCCACCCTATATTAATACACGTTGAAAAACAAAAGAGAGTAAACCCGTTGCAGCTTTGGAGCTTCTTGGGAGCTTTTCTCATTTCTCTCACAAAAGCCAAACGGAGAACAGCTGTAACTGCGAATTTCGTACGAAAAAGAACGCAACACACACGAAAAATGATTGCGCAAAGTGTGATAAGCAAACTGGTGAGTCCTTGTGCTCGCCGCTTGGCCAGCAGCAAGGCAGCGGCGCCCAAATTCAACTGGCAGGATCCCCTCAACCTAGAGAGCCAGCTGACCGAAGAGGAAGTGGCCATTCGTGACGCCTTCCGCGGCTACTGCCAGGCGGAGCTGCTGCCCCGCGTGAAGATGGCCAATCGACTGGAACAGTTTGACAAGAAGATCATGGAGGAGATCGGCAGTCTGGGCGTGCTGGGCTGCACCCTGAAGGGCTACGGGTGTGCGGGAGTGTCCAGTGTGGCCTATGGCCTGCTCACCCGCGAAGTGGAGCGCGTGGATTCCGCCTACCGTTCGGCAGTGAGTGTCCAGAGTTCGCTGGCCATGGGCGCCATCTATGACTATGGTTCGGAAGAGCAGAAGCAAAGATATTTGCCCAGCATGGCGCAGGGCAAGCTGATAGGTGAGTGGGCCCAAACTGCAAGCATCTGTAGCACCACCTAAAATGTGGTTCCTCCCCCCAGGCGGCTTTGGCTTGACCGAGCCGAACCACGGCAGCGATCCGGCTGGCATGGAAACCAATGCCAAGTACGACAGCAAGACAAAGACGTACATCTTGAATGGATCCAAGACGTGGATCACCAGCGCACCCATTGCAGATGTTCTGGTTGTGTGGGCGAAGTGCGAGGATGGTAAGCTGCGCGGCTTCCTGGTGGATCGCAAGATATCCGGCAAGGGACTGGACACGCCCAAGATCGAGGGCAAGTTCTCGCTGCGTGCCTCGCCCACGGGCATGATCCTCATGGACGATGTACGTGTGCCCGAGGAGCAGCTGCTGCCCAATGCCATTGGCTTCAGTGGACCCTTCAACTGCCTGAACAATGCCCGCTATGGCATCGCCTGGGGTGCCCTGGGCGCCGCCGAGTCCTGTGTGGAGATAGCACGTCAGTACACACTCGATCGCAAGCAATTCGGACGCCCACTGGCAGCGAATCAGTTGATTCAGAAGAAGCTGGCCGATGCCACCACAGAGATTGCCTTGGGGCTGCAGGGCTGCCTGCAGGTGGGTCGCCTCAAGGACCAGAAGCTGCACACACCCGAGATGATCTCCCTGCTGAAGCGCAACAACACGGGCAAGTCCCTGGACATTGCCCGTCAAATGAGGGACATGCTGGGCGGCAATGGCATCAGCGATGAGTATCATGTGATCAGGCATGTAATGAACCTGGAGTCGGTCATCACCTACGAGGGCACCCACGACATTCACGCCCTGATTCTTGGACGTGCCATCACCGGACTGGCGGCCTTTGCCAATTGATTTTGGCCAGGCGCTTGGGGGGAGAATTGCATTTACAGAAAGTGTTGTGTCCTATGAAATAAATGTCTAAATCTTGGTCTAGAAAGGTTCTCTTGTTCCACCATCAAAGTTCTTGCCATTGATAAGCTGATATGCCTAATCTGCTGGTGGTACAGATAAGATCTACTCACCTCTGCCTCGTATTGCTCTGCCCGACGCACTGCGTGGCTCAGCTCTGTGTTTGTCTCCGCCAGCAGTTTCTTCAGTTTGGCATGCGACATTTTCACCTCGCTGATTTCCTTGTTGCGCTCCGAGAGCTCCTGCTGCAGCGCGCGCAACTCAACATCGTTGGCCTGCATGGGGCGACACTTGCGATCCGAACGCTCCTGATAGTCACGCAGTTCGGCGCGCAGCTTTTTGTTGTCACGCTCCAGGGCCAACTTCTCAGACTCCAGGCGCTCACGCTTGCCCCACTCGGAGGCATTCTCCGCCTGCAAATGCTCCAGTTCGGTGCGCAGTTCCGTGAGACGTCGCTCTAGATTCTCGCGTGCGGCTATCTCCTCCTGCAGTGAGTTGTTTACGATGCGCATCTCTGCGCGATGCTGCTCCTGCAGTGTCAAGAGCTCGCGCACTGCATCCTGCTTGGCTGAACGCATCTCCTCATGGCGTCCGCGCACATCCTGTATCTCCAGCGTCAGCTTCTCAATGCTCTTGTGGAGTTCGTGCTTCTCACTGTAAGAAATCAATAAATTTAGTAAACAAAAAGGAGGGAGAGAGACGTGGCACTCACTCCCTTTCGGCCTGCAATGTTTTCTGCGCTTCATCGAGTCGCAGCTGCAGCATGGATATTTTTTGCAATAAGTAATCCTCGTCAAAGTCATCCTTCGATAACTGCTGTATGAGACGCTTCTCCTCGTCAGCAGCGGCCTCATCCAGCTCCGTCAAGTGCTTGGGCATGGCTCCCTGCAGGGCAAACTCCTCAATGTCCAGATCTTTGACATCGTTGGTCAATTTCGTGACCAAACCATCCTCGCTGTTGATATTCTTCAGCCCGTCCGAAGAGATGTCCGGCGAGCAGTTGGCATCGCGACCATTGGCCTCGGCATCCTCATTGGTATCCGAGCGATGAAACTGGCCCGCATGCTTCATCATCAGCGTGTGCACCTTCTCCATTTCCTTCTTCAGCTGCGTGATCTGCACCTCGAGATCATTCTTCTCGCGCTTCAGCGAATGTGCCTCCTTCATGGCGACGTCCAGTTTAACGCTCAACTGTTTAGATTCCTCTCGAGCCTTGTTCCGCTCGTTGCGCACCTGACAAAGAGATGTTTTTGTTATCAAACAAAGGCAAATTCCTGCAGCAAATCGATTCAACTGTCGCCATGGCAACCTGCCAGCTTACCTTACTCCATTTCTCGCGCCAGTTGGCTGTGCAATCGGACCTGCAGAACAGAGTTTAGTGATTAACAGACGGTCGACTGGTAGCTCTCCTGCTCGCTACTTACCACCACTTCATGGTCTTCTCCATCTGCGCCGCCCTGGCACGCGCCTCATGTAGCTCGCGTTGGCGTTGCGACTTTTTCCATGAGAGAACGTAAACCATTAATATGGAGGAACTTGTTATTATTGAACTGTACTTACCTCTCGTGCCTCCCATTCAGTTTCACCGAATCGCGCCGACATAGTGGTCCCCATGACGCCAACGCCACCCACGCCATCGCTGGGCAGCCGTCGACTTCCGCCCCCCACCGGTGCAGCAGCTGCACTCTGCGTTGTGGACGCTGCCTGTGACATGTTCTAACTTTGTTGCAGCAAGTACTTTCAATGTCTCTTATTTAGCACACACGCCTAACTAAGCTGTTGCATTTTGAAGTTGTTTCTTGCACTTTTCATTTAATATCTTTTTCACTTTTTATAAATTCGGGAGGAAATCCGTGGTCTTTCTTCAATATATGCGTTTTCTGCATCAATAAAATATCCCGCAACACCCTCCAAAATATACCAAAATATACCTTTTTTGGTATTTGCTATTTAATAAATAACATAGAATTTTTGGTATATTTTGTAAATAAGTCCGCACTAACACTTATTTCAATTGTTTTAAAATTGTTTTATTCGGCAAAACTGAAATAAAAAATGGCCAAGCATCATCCCGACTTGATTTTCTGCCGCAAACAACCCGGCGTGGGTAAGTTCTATTACAAATACAGTGTTTTCCCAAGTAATTCCAATGTTTTGTGTCACACGCGGCAGCCATTGGACGCCTGTGCGAAAAGGATGATGGAAAATGTGTGATTTGCGACTCCTATGTGCGTCCATGCACTCTGGTGCGGATCTGCGATGAGTGCAACTACGGTTCCTATCAGGGACGATGCGTAATCTGCGGAGGACCAGGAGTGTCCGATGCGTACTACTGCAAGTCGTGCACCATGCAGGAGAAGGATGTGAGTAGCAGAGCTGCCATTTGTGGGATTTTAATTAATTTATTGCATGGTGTGTTCTTTCCAGCGTGATGGCTGCCCCAAAATCGTGAATCTGGGCAGCTCAAAGACTGACTTGTTCTATGAGCGCAAGAAATATGGCTTCAAACAAAAGTAATTATCCAAAACCACGAAAAACTGTTTTGATTTTAATTAAATTTCTTTCCTTTTGCAGCTACTAATGTGCTCCTACTCTGGACCCCTCCCTCATATACATTTCTAATCAATTTTTATTGTAATTTAATGAATATACATAGAAAGTATTGATATAAACATGGAATTGAAGACGTATTAGATGGCCAATAGCTTCTCCTCGCCACCACCCAGATCATACTGCAGGCAGAGGCGATCAAACTCTGTTGACTTCTTGTCCAGATCGGTGATAAAGTCGCTCTTTGGGTAGAACTGACGCAGCTGCTCCAGATAGCGCGTTATGTTCTCCGTGGGCTTGCCCGTCAAATGTGACAATACCATGAGATTTATCAGAGTGTCGTAGTCGTTGTGCTTCTTTATCAGCGACTCGCGCAGCACGGCATCGGCTTCTTCGTAGCGCTCCAGGCCCAGGTGTACCACCGCCTGGCCATTCAGCAGTGCTGGCGTCGGTTTGAACTTCTCACAGAACTCCTGGTAGATGTGGAATGCGTCTTGCATCTGCTCCGTGCCCTGTGCCAGAGCCACCCAGGCCTGCGCCAGCTGTGTTAGTGTGGCATCGTCGCTGATCTCTTGCATTTTGGCCACCAGCTGCTTGGCTAGATCGACACGCTGCAGGCGCAGCAGGCATTGCACAGAGAGAGCCATCGACTCGAGATTAGTGGAGCCGTGCAGGATTTTCAGAGCGTTCTCGAACTGCCCGTCGTAGCAGTACACAATGGCGGTGGCAATGTGCCAAAGATTGGTCTCATCCTCTTCGCCGGCCACCTTATCGGTCAGCTTCTCCAGCACTTCCTCGCACCGTGACGGCTGCTCAAAGGCTTCGTGGACAAGACGCAAAGCCTGCAGCGGTGTCGAGGCGCCTTCTTTGATGTCCGAGGCAATGATGCGGCCCGAGTCAATGGCCAGGTACGACAGGTACATGTAGGACAGCAGCTCGGCTCCAGCCGTTCCTTGCTCGGGCAGCACAAAGTTGATGGATCCCATAAAGTTGCCAATGTAGTACTCGTTTCGGGCATCGAACAGCACCGCATTGGTATCCTCATCGTTTTGCTGTCCACGGCTCATACTGATGAAGTTTCTTTTGATTTAATTTGACAGAAAATTCGACAAAAAATAAATATCAAAACCTCTGAGTTGGCTTTTAGAGGTGGGGTAAGAACGATATAAACATCGATACCAATTGCCATCCAGTGCTGGCACGAAATATAGAAATTGAAATTTCATAGATTCTAAGAAGCCAAAGTTTATTTTGGGAAAATTGTCATTGAAATCTTGCAAATGTTTGCCCCATACTCCATATTGAATAAAACTAGCCATGCACGCAAAAATATCGGTAAGCGCTGCCACCTGGGTTGCCTGTGCGATACCTGCCGATAACATACCTGTGTGTCGTCATCTAAATCGATTTGTTTATATTTATACAGCAGTAGCGGAATTTTTCTGAAAAACAAAGGACTGGCCATTAATGCAGCAGCATGCACACGGCTCATTTCAAGAGCGAATAGTTTAAAGCTAGCCAAAAAATCTTCAATGGATTTCCAGCCTCCGTGCAAAAGCAAGTGTACGGGGCCATCTAATTGTTGAGTCATCAACAATTAACAAAAAAAAACAATAGCAGCAGCTCAAGCAGAAGCAGTAGCAGCCTTGGGGGCGAGCATTAACACCACCAGCCAAGGTGCCACAGGTGAGACGAGACAAGGCGTAGTCTTTCGCCTTGATGGCGTAAGCTGATCCAACAAACAACCCCAACATCTTCGCCCATCAACCACACCAGGCGTTACGCGTCGTTGACTAAGGTGTGTCTAAACTGTGCTTTGAAGTCAACTAATGTCTGTCTACGTTTGCAGAGCACGCACACAGGCAGACACGCGCTCACCCAAAAAATACACTATGGAGGACTACAAATTTCTATTCAAAATCGTGCTCGTTGGCAACGCGGGCGTTGGCAAAACCTGCCTGGTGCGTCGCTTCACCCAGGGCCTTTTCCCACCCGGCCAGGGTGCCACCATTGGAGTGGACTTCATGATCAAGACAGTAGAGGTGGAGGGTGAGAAGATCAAGCTACAGATATGGGACACTGCCGGACAGGAGCGATTCCGATCGATCACCCAAAGCTACTATCGATCCGCTCACGCCCTGATCCTGGTGTACGACATCAGTTGCCAGCCCACGTTCGACTGCCTGCCCGACTGGCTGCGCGAGATACAGGAATACGCCAACTCCAAGGTCCTCAAGATACTCGTGGGCAACAAAACGGATCGTGATGACCGCGAGATTCCCACACAAATTGGCGAAGAGTTTGCCAAGCAACATGACATGTACTTCCTGGAGACATCCGCCAAAGAGGCGGAGAATGTGGAGCGTTTGTTCTACGAGATAGCCGCCGAACTGATTGGCCAGGCACGCAGCAAAGACGGCAGCAGTGCTGCAGCTGCGGCGGCCGCACAGCGGCAGTCGGACGGCAGTTCCATTGGATTAGCCAGCTTAGGTGCCAAAGCAGCGCAAAGCAATTGCTGTGGCGGTCTGGCCAATGCTGGCGGTGGATCAAGTGCTTCGAACACTAGTCAAGGCGGCTGAACAATGGATGGCCAAAACAAATAACTAGAAACTGAGCAGCTAAACTGAAATTTGTAACTAGTTTAAGGGCTTAATCGTGATATTCAATTTGATATTTTGATAGAAAATGAGACACACATTCAGCTGCAATCCCCTTGACTTCCCATGTATTTATTTTGGTTCAAATCACGATTAAGATCTATCAAAACTAGCCAACAACTTGACCATGGATGCTAAATATTTGTGTTAATTGAATGCGATTTTCTTGAATTAGTATTATACGTATACATATAGATATTGTAACAAGTGAGCATCACATCACAGCCCTTAATTTATGATACATCAATATTGCAATGCACATAACTTCGGAGTATTTTGTATATTTTATACATTAATTCTAAACCCAATCCTTTTTTACAAGCCTGCAATATGCGTATCTATTTATTTGAAATTATTTTTGTAATGTGCAATCATTTGAAATGCAATTTTTAAACTGGTAACTCGTATTTTAGTGTTTAAGGTGATTTTATGACATTCCAAAAATTAAATATGTAGTCGACAAAATATGAGATAAATGGAGGAAATGCTGGATAAAAGAAACTAAATAAATAATAAATACATTTGTAATTAAACTGCTGCTTATAAAAACATCAAGAATTAATGTGCAGATTATGAAACAGCAGCGCCAATTGATGAAACTCCTACATGAGGAGCAATTATTTCAGCTAAAGAACCCAATCTTTGAACCATGGTGAAATTACAAGCAAGGTGACGTTATCCGCTAAGCGAGGACCACTAACTTATTCACCACGCTCAAAATTAGAAGCACTGGAAAGGGATAGAGAAAGAGTAGTGGCCTCCCATCGCAAAACCCACACACATTCACTTTGTTACAATTATTTATTAACTACTAACAATAGCCTCTCTCTCTTAATAACTAATATCATTTGCCTATTAATTCAAGAAATCGTTGGCTAATTCCACGCCAAAGAAAACCGCTGCTGTGGCTGGAAAGGCACGCAGGAGTATGGGCAGGACACCACGAAATAGCGCTGTAGGACCTTCGGTGGCCATGAGATCCCTGAAAACACTGCGTATGCCGTGCTTATAGGTGCCCTCCGGTGCTGTAAAATGCATCAATAATTTATAATTAATTGCCGATACTTGGCAAATCGATGAGGTTGATGATGATGATGACTCACCCGACTGTAGACGGCTCTTGAGTACATCGAAGGGCACGGCCAAAGTCCAAAACACAATGCCAGACGTGCCGCCAGCTAAAATGGTTGAGGTGGTGCTAATTTGTCCTGTTTTTGATTTACGTCTTGCCAAATCCTGAAGGAATTCGTAGGTCACGAAATAGAAGCCAGTGGGGGAATCTAATGGAACACAAATTAGATTTAATTCCCACTTTATGGCTGTCTGAGACTGAACACTAACCTCTCAAAATGCAGGCACATGTTCCCTTGAAGAGACTCCTGAATCCGCCCTGCCGGTACAGCTTCACAGCTGTGTCCAGCGTCCCATTGTACAGCAGAGGACCACCACCCACAGTCTGCGTCTGCAGCAGGACCTTAATCCGATCCGTGGGCACCGTAACCAAGGCGGAACACACACCAGCAAAGGCTCCGGCGGCAAATATTTGTGGATAGGTGAGGCGTATATGGTCATCCGTTTGGAACAGACGCTTGCCCGCCGCATAGACAGCAAAGTCCACGGCGTAAATGGGAGTAACTCCAACAAGGGGTGCGGAAATTCCTCTGTAGAAGCCACGGAGTCCCTCCTGGCGAAACGTTTTCACGGCACAGTCGATGACGCCCTTGTATCTGGGCGACTGGCCAGGCGCCGCCAGTGGCATTGTCTGGAGACGAACCTGCCGATAAGAAAACATAAGAAACACTTTCCAAGTGGAATTTTTGTGACAAACCTTAATTGTGTCGAGTGGATGGCCGGTGATGACATTGCACATGCCGCCAAAGCCTCCGGCAATGAAGGATTTCACGGGATTGGCCTTCTGCTGTGTTACGAGCTCCGTCATGGCGTGTTTGCAACTATTTACGTAAACGAAACCAGGAAAGTCGTCAGCTCTTGGCCGGTTCGAACGCACGTGCGGTTTTGAAGCGTGTGTCTGGGTTGCGTTATGTTATCTGCAAAATTTGGGGCTGCTGACCTATGCTAATATTGTAGATTTTTGTAGTGGGTGCGAATTCCATCTCCAAATGCTGATAGGCCTTATCTAATTTAAATATTTCATTTGATTTTGAGAAATTGCAGTAGTGTGACCGCGGATTTATCGATTCATCGCCTGACCCTCAGAACTATACCGAAATATAGCTTATATCGTATAACATTATCCTCGATTTTGTATTCTACTTAAAAAGCTATTTTTGTTAATTTCAGTTAAACATTTATAATCATTTTGAATGGTGGGAGGGCGAACCACAAAGGCTTGTGAGTAAAATGACTTATGCACACTGCAGAGAGATTTTGTTTGGTATATTTTGAAAATGCAATGGTATATTTTATTTTATTTATGAGGGTCATGAGGGATATTTGATCGATACCTCCGCGGTCACACTGCTTTCGATACACTTTCAATAAAAAAATGTTTAAATAATTGTTATTTATTTTGATAAATTACTCAAAAACGATTAATAGACGCAAACACGGCACTTTTGAAACGTATGTTGGTCATAACAGCTTTCTCGTCAACTCACAGCTGCTGTAAATAGCAGCCATTTGCTGCTGCTGACACAACAAGAAGAAGCAGAGGCTGGCAGGCAGGCAGGCAGCAACAACAACGACAACAGCATTTCGACAGAAAATTGTTGCGTATCGTCTTTTTTAATTTCTTTTGGCAGCAGCAGAAGACACCGTACCATTTTCGTACAATCAGAGTGAACAAATCATATGTATAACTTATGTCTGATAAAAGTGCTAAGGAATCCTGTATCAGTCGTAGTGCGAGCTGCAGCAGCAGGCGAAAGAGAAGAAAGTGAATTCGAGCAGCAGGGAGGAGTCGTCACCCCAAGAAAGCAACAAAAATCTATTTCCCATCGGCCTTAGGTGCGCGCAACGTGTTCCGCTCTGCGATTCCACAAAAGAGAAGTCAAATAATCAGCTGTGTTAAACAATGTCCCATGGCGAGGATGTGCTAGACAATTGGGAAGAACTTGACGAGGCGGGGGTACGTAGTCCAACTTACCTAGAGTCTACACATATCTAATTACATTTTCACCCCACTTGCTCTGTCCTGGCCAGCTCTCGATGACTCTGCAAACCAAGCTGCAGACGAGCGAGGAGAAGCCTGTTATCAAAATGAAACTTCTACAGCGTCCGCAGAGCCTGCAGGACAGCCCTGGCAATGCTGCACCCAAGCAAATCACCATTGCCAAGAAGCCCTCGCCGCCCGAGGCCCAGCCTGAGGGCGAACCAGTCATGATGGTGCTGCACAAGTCGACAAATGACTATGATCCGGCTACCTATGCCACGCCCACCATCAATCAGACCGTGAAAATTCTGCGACGCCCCGCCCAGGCCGAGGAGCGACGAGATACGAATGGCATGAAACCCAAGCAGCCCATCAAGACACTAAAGCAGCGCGAACAGGAGTATGCAGAGGCCAGATTGCGTATCCTGGGTGCGGCCAAGAATCCCGAGGATGATAAGCCGTAAGCATGACAATGGAACTTTCTTCTCCAAAATGAAATATTTAATCCTTTTGCAGACCAACGCCCCCAACACCAACTGGTGGCAGCCTTTTGGCCACGCCACAGCAGGCTACACCTGCGGGAAACCACTCAACTCTACCTGCTGTCAGCCACAACAATAACAACAACAATAACATTAGTAATCCTGGTCCTGGTGCTGGCATGCATCGCTCTAGTTCGGCCCCAAAGATGTCCCAAGTGTCGGCCATGTACAATAACTACAACAGCTACTTCCAAGGGCCTCACAATCCGGGCCTGAACTATTATTACCAGCATGCCGGACCCCTGCCACCACAGCAGCAGCCGCCAAACATGCCGCCGCATTTCAACCAACGCATGCCACCGTATGTGGGTGGAGGCATGGGCATGGGTGGAATGCCATCCCAACCTCCGCCACAGTCGGCGGTCAATCAGCAGCAGAGCTGGTCGCCCGTGGTCGGAGGCAGTGTTTCCGCTGCCCTGTTGCGCCAGCAGTCAATGCAGCAGTCACCGCAGCAGCACCAGCATCAGCCACCACCGCAAGCCTACAATGACAACGTCTTGCGCCTGCCGAGGGGACCCTGTCCGAATGGCTCTGTTGGCTTTCAGATGCGCCGGTAACAGATTGCATGAGCAGCAGCCGAAGCAGATGGAACGATGGGATGTGGTTTAAATATATTTCAATAAATTCTACTCATCCTGGTGTATAGATTCCGAAAGTTTGTAAAAAGAAATTCAAATGCGAGCGTGTCCCATCTGAGATTTATGTGTCGTCATGCATGTGCGGACTCTGTGGTTCGTCCGCAGGCGAAGCAAGCATCAAACAAAAACAAAACAAAATTATATAAAACAAATTTTATGACAAAGTATGGAAGATATTTTCTAAACTTACAACTCCCCCCAACCCCCAATTTTTGTATAATGTCATACTAATAAAAGGAAATCCTTATTTTAAAGTGCGTGCGATGCAATTGTGAGGGCTGGGAATGGGAAATTACAAAATGGGGAATGATTGCCAATATATATACCCAATATACTGGCGGAGAGTGCAATGATCGCTCAACAACTGACCTCAAAAGATGATCTTGTTTATCGGTTAGCCAGCTTTCTGGAATCGAATTAATCAGCCAGCAGTCCCTTGTTCTCAAAAAGTACATCGAGTACATGAAATTCGAGCCGTATACAAACAAAGCTCACTTTATCGATATATAAATAATTAGCAAAAGAGTTAACCGAAACCATATTTTCATTTATAAACAGCTGAATTATACGTAACGTCCACTATTCCACTTTAGACTGGTAGACCATAAATATTCTATGAACAGCAACATTTATTCAGTTGTTTGTTTGTTGTTTGTTTTCTCCATTGTGAATCCATTTCGTCTTAGGACGATGTCCAGTGTGTACCTATCATAACATTTATCTAATTTATTCAGGAGAAACAGCTGTTCTCTCTCACTCTCTCATTTGCGACTGATTTATATTCACTTTGGATCATTTGACGGAATAACAAATACAACTGATAAGAAGTGCAATTTGAGTTACAGTTACATTTACCCCCAGCAGGGGTCTTGAAAGGCTATCGCCAACGTGTTTGTGTTATTTATTCGAGCCAAAAAAAGCAATTACCGGCAAAGCGAAAAAAAAGTGCAATGAGATCGGCTTCTGCCGCCGCCTAGCTACGCGTCCCACGGAGGTTTCCTTATCGCAGTTGCGGACGTCATAGTTGATTTTACCTAGGCCTAGGGCCCCACACATTAAATATTTAATTCAAATTCAAGATTTCAGTTGAAAACGAGGCGTCGTGCGGTGCGGTTTAACGAATCTGATCAGACAAATAAAAAATAAACATAAAACACAAAGCATAGAGCGCAAACCTGGCTCTCTTTCTACCTCTCTCAAGCTCTCAAAAAGTGCTGTCTGTCGCGTCATCTAAACATATTGTGCTCTCACTCTCACCTCTCTGGAAACGCTGCTGCTGCTCAACACGTGGGCGAGAAAACAGAGAAAGAATTCTAAATTCTCGAAAAACGTGATTAGTTTTTGTTCTTATCGGCCAGAAATATGTCACACAGCGTCTTGGTCATTGGCAGCGGCGGGCGGGAGCATGCTATCTGCTGGAAATTATCGCAGTCGCCACTGGTGAAGCAGATCTACGCCCTGCCTGGTAGCTTTGGCATCCAGCAGGTGGAAAAGTGCCGTAATTTGGAGGCCAAAGTCTTGGATCCAAAGGATTTTGAGGTGAGTTGAATGATTCCCGCAGCGACCTTGAGTTAACCTTCGCGAGTGGCTTACAGTGACAGCGAGTTTATTTGCATGTGTGCGTGCAGTCCATTTGGGGTGCAGCTTAAGCGTAATTATTTTTGGTTATTTTTATTGCTCTCTGTGATACATTTTTATGGCTTCTTGAAGATCTCTGGAATCCCAATGTACATACATATACTTTTATGATGCCCCAGAACGTTTTATATTAATCGCAATCGAAAACGATCTTAAAGCGGATCATTCAGTGCACTACGATCGCAGCTAATCGGTTTAACTTTAACCCTTGTGCGCTCCTTGGGGCTGCCATTTGGCGCTGACGAAAATCGTGGCAAATATTGCAATTTGAGATTATTATTTGTGTGTAATGCGAAACTGTCAATAAGTTATCAATTGCAGCTTGGCTCTGCATGTATTAGTCGAGGTCTAGCAGCTTAACATATTTGTATTGCCTCTAATTGGATTTCAATCATATTCGTGGCTGCCTTGCTGTGTGGTAGACTGATAGATTAAGTTTAATTAACACTGTTGCTTGATGTGTTGATTATATTCTGGGATTGTTTACAAGCTCTAAAGCCATTATTCTACTCCAACATTTCAATATCTCTCTTGAAAACTACACCCAAGGCCATCGCGATGCCTTTTGTAGGAATTACCATATCTAATGGTAAATTAAACAAAGACTAAAATAGCAACAGATTACTCCAGCATGCCCAGACATTGCCCAACTTAGCGCCTTCTTTTGCGACAGAAAATTGTGTCCTTTGTTTTCAGTTTCTAACTTACGTTGTTTCTATATTTATTGTTTTTGTGGCTTAATTAATTGTTAAGTTTGAAATTCACAGATTTTTGCATTGTGTTCTATTGAGACCTGCTCCCCCATTACCGATCACCAATCACCGATCCACGTATCACCGTCGCTGTCGCAGAGGTTGGGTGGTGGGTGGATGGGTCAGATAAATGGTCTTTGGTGTGGAACTTGGCCGGGAACGTGGTGTCGTCTGTTCGTGAATGTTTCTGCTGTAGACATTGAAAGCGGCAGCATCGTGGGCCACTGGCCTTAGCTCGCCCGTGTAGTAATCCTTCACCTGATACGGATGCGTGCGAATGTACTCCAGGGCGCGCAAAATGTAGTCCGGCACTTTGGGTATGTGATCGCCAACAGGATGATAGCCAGTCTCATCGGCCACATAGCTAACACTGAACACAGATCCTTCGGGAGAGGTGTAACTGGAGCCGCCCTGAACGGACACACCGCCTAGGCCGCCCTGGGAGGCGGAAATGCCATTGGATGTTTCGTATGAATAGCGATAATTGCCATCCCGCTCCACCTGCAGATCGTTCTGTAGAGTTTTCGTGTTCCTATCCGAATCTGGGATGTATGCAGCCTCCAGCTGCTGCTGCATCACCGCCAACACTCCAAAGAGACTCATCTGCGGGGTGGAAGATTGATCGATTATAATCCATTCTGGGTTCTGGGTTCGCCTGCCGTTGACTTACAAGCAAATACATGATGGGACTTGAAGCACTTCTCTCTCTGGGTTCTATCGCCTGGCGAGTATCAAGTGGAACTGTTTGTCTGCTTCTCGTACGCTTTCGTTTTTATATCCATCCGCCGCGCCAGCTTGGATTTTGTATTTTTTTTTTGGCAATATTTTTTCGTCTCGGAAACCCAGTTCCGAAACATCAACGGCGCGACGTTGCTCGTCATCATCGGCGGGGCTGCTGCTGCCTTAGTCAGTCATAAATAAAATGATTTTATTTCTTATAAGTATTATTTTATATAGGTATCAACGATGTTATTTGTCGCTGCTGCAATTCCCAAAGTGTGGGATGGTATAAAATACATATAGACAATATTCGTGAATGGCTGTGCCGAAGGTTGGGGCACTTGCACTTGCATTTTGTGGCTGATCTTGAAATACTTACAGTCTCAGGAAACACACGAAAATACCACGGCGATCGTTGACATTGCATGTGTCCTCAAGCGGGGGCTCCATTGTGTAGGAAAGTACTCCTACGATCGAGTGTATAGATCATCAAAGAGTGTAGGATAAGACCCACCTTATGGCTTCCTTCTTTCTTCCCATTTGTCTATGCTACTTTCGGCTCAAAAGCTGTAATAAAAGATGCACAGGAAATGGCATTCCAATTAAAGAAAAATCTCTACAACAGTCCATTTATAGAACACCCCCCAGACAACCCATAATCTTGCTCAATTAATTTAATCAGACAAAGTTATTCTTAGAAAATTGCATAGCACCATAGCACAAATGATGAATGAAGTGTTTGGCAAGTATTTAAGCATAGATTTTGATCATTAGACACGAACTTTATCAACATTACTCTCAACTCTACGATATTTTGATGTGATTTTTTTTGCTTGCTTATTCCCAAAATAAAAACCCGTCCAACGTTCGACTAATTCACCAAAGCGTATCTAATTCCCTCACCAAACTTTTATCCGCAAACAAATGTATCAGCATTCTTTAGCCATCCCCCCACAGTTCCCTCTCGTTTCCCGATTCGCTGGCTTCATTTGCATATAATACAGTAAATCATGAGCGCACTCTTTAAAGCATTAAGACGAAAACGTTCTAACCAAATTTGGCAAGTAGTTCGGGACGCTCGCTCAGGTCAGAGATTCCAAAAGGTCTTCCAAGACTTCTCTTGCTAGGTTTATGCGGCGTCGATTTAATGAAAAGCTGCCCAGTCCGTACTTGAAACCAAGTGGCAACTCCAAAAACAGCTGATCAGCTGTTAAAAACGCATAGATATAGATCGGGTATGGGATATATATGGAAATGGCTAGTCAGTTTGGAGGGAAAACATTTCAAAAATAAATTATAATTATTTAAAATAATCATTGCTGTCTCTATCAACTTCTATATCATAATTATCATGAATTCAGCCACGCATAAACATATCTGAGTCTGTCTGTCATATGCCTTCATCTTCATCAACGAGCTAGATGGTGTTTAGATGTTGCCCCTGCCTTTCGCTTCATTCTTCTTGTTTCGCCGCTTAACCTTCGTTACGGGAAATTAAAGCCTTGACCAGCTTCGCTCTTAATTTGGAAAGCCAAAATAGCTCTTAAAAGACTTCATATTTAGAGCTGGAGCCGCAGTCGTGTGAACGTTCTTGAACTCTCAGGAGAGGATGATTCTTTTGCCAAGTGCTAAATGGTCTGGAACGCAGACGACTGCAATTTCGACTCTCTGGTGATTGTGGGGGTAAACCGAAAGTTCTGCGTTGGCGCCAATTCAAATTAGAACTGAGAAAACCGGACGAGAACAGCCAGCACCGGGATTACTGTGGTTGCTTGACATAGCTGGCCCCTTAGTCAGTCGGAGTCGTTGGATTTTGCTCGCTCACGTTTGCCCGATCGAAAGACAATGCACCCGAACCAGTGAGAGACCCAGTTTAATGGCAAAACAATTAGGAAGGCATTTAGTATTTTGGCGACAAATTGGCGAATGGAACCGGTTGAGTACTTAGAGGAGTGTTATCTTCCAATTTTGTGGAATGTTGTTACAAAAAGAAGAGAGCGAATCCCCCACCAAAGAAGCTGCAATGTGATCATGACCCGGTTATATGTTAGATGGGGAAAATCCAATTATGATCTCTGTTGATTGGGGGAGATTGTTTTTTTAAATGCAAATTCTGAGATTCTTTGAGGGGAGATGCAGCTGAAGGTATTTTTTATCTAAACAAATCTACAGAAACAAATTTCGCAAGAGAAAGATGTCACATTTTTCATCAGTGTATCGTTTTATAAAGCGTAAAGCCGATGTCTAATAAATAACTCGATTTAGTGTTAAATTCAAATTCCAATCGAACGAATTCCACGATTATAATCATCACACCAAAAATGTGTATTGCAACTTAATTAATTTGTAATTTTAAATTGCATTATTGCGTCGTGGATAATGAATAACTGGAAATATTTTAAATCAGTTGAAAGAATTAAATAGAACGAAAATGTGCTGATGATTTTTCAAATATAAATTTAGAATCTGCAAATGTAATATTCGATTGCGTTGTATTAAGATGCTGTCTAAATGGATTGACAATTTAAACATATTTTTAGATGAGGTAGCCTTAACTACAGCGTTTTCACAGATCATCAATAGATCTTTTACTCCATATTTAAATCCAATATAATCCTCATTTATTTATTCCGTTTTCTGCCCGTAGGCCATTGCCAAATGGAGCAAGCAAAATGAAATCTCTTTGGTGGTCGTTGGACCCGAAGATCCCTTGGCCTTGGGTCTGGGCGATGTGCTGCAAAAGGAGGGCATACCCTGCTTTGGACCCGGCAAGCAGGGCGCTCAAATCGAGGCAGACAAGAAGTGGGCCAAGGACTTTATGCTGCGCCATGGCATACCAACGGCGCGTTATGAGAGCTTTACGGACACGAACAAGGCCAAGGCGTTTATCAAGAGGTGAGCAATGAAACGAATCCTGGTGGAAAATAAAGCTATAACTTCTTTCTTCTCTTTGCCAGCGCACCCTATCAAGCTCTGGTGGTGAAGGCCGCTGGTTTGGCTGCCGGCAAGGGTGTTGTGGTGGCTGCCAATGTGGAGGAAGCCTGCCAAGCGGTGGATGAGATACTGGGAGACTTGAAGTACGGACAAGCTGGCGCCACGCTGGTCGTAGAGGAGCTACTCGAGGGCGAGGAAATCTCAGTTCTTGCCTTCACCGATGGCCAGAGTGTGCGGGCCATGCTGCCTGCCCAGGATCACAAGCGTTTGGGCAATGGAGACACAGGACCCAATACGGGAGGCATGGGCGCCTACTGCCCGTGTCCTTTGATCAGTCAGCCCGCATTGGAGCTGGTGCAGCGTGCCGTGCTGGAGCGAGCCGTTCAGGGTCTGATCAAGGAGCGCATCACCTATCAGGGTGTGCTCTATGCGGGACTCATGCTGACACGCGATGGTCCACGCGTGCTCGAGTTCAACTGTCGCTTTGGTGATCCCGAAACGCAGGTCATACTGCCGCTCCTCGAAACGGATCTGTTTGAGGTGATGCAGGCCTGCTGCAGTGGACAGCTGGAGCGGCAGCCCCTCCAGTGGCGCAGCGGTGTGAGTGCTGTGGGTGTGATCCTCGCAAGTGCTGGCTATCCAGAGACCTCCACCAAGGGTTGCCTCATCACGGGTAAGGTTTGGCCTCTGCTCTTTTCTGATGGAAATATAAATTTCACCTTTTTTCCAGGCCTTCCTGATGTCAACACGCCCACTCAGCTGGTTTTCCACAGCGGTTTGTCGATTAACAAACAAAACGAAGCCCTCACCAATGGCGGACGTGTGCTCATTGCCATTGCTTTGGATGCCAGTCTCAAGGAGGCGGCTGCCAAGGCCACAAAACTCGCGGGTACAATCACTTTTGCCGGCACTGGTGCTCAATATCGCACGGACATTGCACAGAAAGCATTTAAAATGTAAATTGAAAAGAGGCTTTGGCTTCCATGCCTCAAATAAAATACTTTCTATGCACACAACTAATATATATTCTGTTCTAGTGCCACTGCCACGGCGCCTGGCCTCAGCTACAAAGACAGCGGCGTGGACATTGATGCGGGCGATGCACTGGTGCAACGCATTAAGCCTCTGTCGCGTGGCACACAGCGGCCTGGTGTGCTCGGCGGTTTGGGTGGCTTTGGTGGTTTGTTTCGCTTGAAGGATCTCAGCTACAAGGAGCCCGTGATTGCCGAAGCCACGCAGGGCGTGGGCGCCAAGATTCAGTTGGCGCTGCAGAATGAATTGTATGAGAACATTGGCTACGATCTGTTTGCCATGGCTGCCAATGATCTGCTGGAGTTGGGCGCCGAACCGGTGGCATTTCTGGATTACATAGCCTGTGGCAAGCTGCATGTGCCGCTGGCCGCGCAGCTGGTCAAGGGCATGGCCGATGGCTGTCGTGATGCCAAGTGTGCTTTGGTGGGTGCGTAACTGATTGATTGAATTGTGGATTGTTCTTCACTAAATCTGTTTCTTTCAGGTGGTGAAACCGCGGAGATGCCCTCGCTCTATGCACCGGGACAGCATGATATGGCTGGCTATTGTGTGGGCGTCGTGGAGATGTCTCGTGTCCTGCCACGCTTTGATCTGTTTGAAGAAGAGGATCTGCTTGTGGGTCTGCCCTCCTCGGGCCTGCACTGTGCTGGTTTCAACGAGCTGCTTACCCAGTTGGCCGCCTCGAATGTGAATCTCAAGGAATGCTCGCCGGTTGGCGGTGGCAAGCATGGCCTTAGCTTGGCCCAGGTCTTGGGCACACCGACACGCCTGTACGTGCAGCAGCTGCTGCCTCATTTGCAGGCTGGCAATCAGATCAAAGCTGTGGCCCATGTCACGCATGGCCTGCTGCACGATGTCCAGCGAGTGCTGCCCGAGGGCTTTGAGGTCACACTGGACTTTGGGGCAGTGCCCGTGCCGGAGGTCTTTGGCTGGCTGGCGGGCAAGCTGCAGCTGAGTGCCCAGACCTTGCTGGAGCGGCACAACTGTGGCATTGGCATGGTGCTGGTCCTGCCGCAGAGTAGCCTGCTGTGGCGCACATCCCTCCCGGGTGCCAAGGTGCTCGGCGTGTTGAATCGCCAAGCTAAATCCGCCGGCGATGCTACACGCGTTAAAGTTCGAAACTTTGTGGAGCAGCTGCAGAAATTGGCCGCACCCTTTGGTGGATTGGGGGAGTCCCAGCTGCCGCAGGAAGTCAGGCAACTGCCCGCAACGGAGGTGAAGCTTACGCCTCGTGAGGAATGCTTTGAGAATGCCGTGGGACGTCGCCTGACACGCGTGCCGAACCATTACCACGATCCCATACTCATTTTGGGCACCGATGGCGTTGGCACAAAGCTGAAGATCGCCCAGCAAACGAACCGAAACGATAGCGTGGGCATCGATCTGGTGGCCATGTGCGTCAACGATATACTCTGCAATGGCGCCGAACCCTTTAGCTTTTCCAGCTATTATGCCTGCGGCAAGTGGCAGTCGGATTTGGCTGCGGCAGTCAACGCTGGCGTTCAGGAGGGTGCCAGTCAGGCCAACAGCAGTTTTGTGTGTAAGTTGCGAGGGGATTTCTCTGCTGCAAATACTAATTCCAATCTCTATTCTATTGACAGCCTCACACAGCGCTGCCCTGCCACTGCTGTACGAACCGCAGGTCTATGATTTGGCTGGCTTTGCTTTGGGCATAGCCGAACGCTCGGGCATACTGCCGCGGTTGGAGGAGATTCAACCCGGAGATGTGCTCATTGGCCTGCCCTCGTCGGGTGTGCACAGCAATGGCTTCAGTCTTGTTCATGCTGTACTCAAGCGTGCTGGCTTGGGCCTCAACGATCGTGCGCCATTCAGCGAGAAGACATTGGGCGAGGAGCTGCTGGTGCCCACCAAGATCTATGTGAAGGCATTGTCCTCGCTGCTTTCGCGACCCAACCATGGGGTTAAAGCCCTAGCACACATCACTGGCGGTGGCCTAAGCGAGAATATACCCCGCGTGCTGCGCAAGGAATTGGCCGTGCGATTGGATGCCAACAAGTACCCGTTGCCCCCGGTGTTTGCCTGGCTGGCTGCTGCTGGCAACATCAGTTCCACGGAGCTGCAGCGCACCTACAACTGCGGACTGGGTTTGGTCTTGGTGGTGGGCGCAACGGAAGTGGATGGCGTGCTCCGGGAACTTCGCTATCCACAGCGCGCGACTGTTGTGGGCGAGGTGGTGGCCCGAAAGGATCCGAAGAAGCCGCAGGTGGTGGTCCAGAACTTTGAGGCATCGCTGGCGAGAACCCAGCGGATTCTAGCTCAGCCACGTCGACGTGTGGCCGTGCTCATCTCGGGAACAGGCAGCAATCTCCAAGCCCTTATAGATGCCACACGTGACTCGGCTCAGGGCGTGCACGCGGAAATTGTACTCGTGATCAGCAACAAGGCGGGTGTCTTGGGTCTGGAGAGGGCCGCCACGGCGGGCATACCCTCGATGGTCATCTCGCACAAGGATTTCCCCAGTCGCGAGGTCTACGATACGGAATTAACGCGCCATCTGAAGGCCGCTCGCGTGGAGTTGATCTGCCTGGCGGGCTTCATGCGCATCCTCAGCGTTCCCTTTGTGCGCGAGTGGCGTGGCCGTCTGATCAACATTCATCCCTCGCTGCTGCCCAAGTATCCGGGTCTGCATGTCCAACGACAGGCGCTGGAGGCAGGCGAAACAGTTTCCGGCTGCACGGTTCACTTTGTGGACGAGGGCGTCGACACGGGCGCCATACTCGTGCAGGCAGCTGTGCCCATTCTGCCCGGGGATGATGAGGCGACGCTCACCCAGCGCATACATCATGCCGAACATTGGGCTTTTCCACGCGCATTGGCGCTGTTGGCCAGCGGTGCTCTGCGTCGTGTGTCCGAGGTGAAGAAGGAAGCGCCCAAGGAGGGCCAATGAACCCATTTAACCATTTAGTTTGATAAGTTTTGATGCCCTGCAAGGGATTATTATTATTAGATCACATAACAAAATTATTCCAAGTATTTCAACGATTTTCTACACACTAATATCACGGGTTGGGGGGTTCCTTTAGTATCACAAGAGACGCGCAAAAAGTTCGGATATCAAGCTCTTCAATGGCTTTTCCGACTGCTCATCCTTCGCTTTGTATTCGACTGCAGGGCGCTGTTGGTTCCGCTTCAAAGTTGCCTCCTTAAACACAACTGGCGCCTCGCGATCCAGCCGATAGCGAAAGAATTGATTCTTGAGTATGGGCACAATCAGATTGTATTTGTCAATCAGCTTGTTCAGCTCCTGCACTTCATGCTCTAGGTTCAGGCTGAACCTTTGCCAGGCGTCCTGCTCGTCGGGACGCTGAAGTGGCCAATCGCCGTAGTAGATGCGCTCCAGGCGCACTTTCTGCAACAGCTGCTGCCGGGCATCGCGTATCTCCTTGCTGAGCGTGATCCATTCTGGCATGAAGCCATTGTCGAGCATTATACTATTCAGTTTGTGTGTGGTAAAGTCAAGGTAGGGATTTTGCGACTGAGCAGAGGACAGCGGCTTGCCGGAGCCATTCAGATTGTTGAAATCGCCCTTGGACATGGACTCCTGAATGAGATCCTCCACCACACGATCGATGCCGTATTTGGTTTTAATGGCGTGCTTTCGAAAGTGATTTCCCTCCTTGGACATAAGCGTGCTGTCGCCGGCGGCCGCCTTATCAATGCGATGCTCGAGCACACGCTCCTGGGCCTTCATGGCGCGCACCTGCTGGTACTGCTTCTGGCGCTGAAAGGGTGTGCCCACGCCAATGCCCTCGTTGGACAGAAACTGTCGGTGCTGTGGCGCCGTGTGCTCGATGTCAAACTCCATGGCCTGCTCCTCGTCCTCCTGGATGTTGCGGCGACCCTTGGCGAACTTCTCCTGCAGCGTCTTGAAGGCCTCGTCCACCTGCTGGAAGCGTTCGGCACTGGCCTCCTCGCACCCAGAGTCCGGATGGACGCGTTTCACCAAATCCAAGTACGCCTGACGCACGGTGTTCTGGTCCGCACCCTCGCACACTCCCAGGATGCGAAAACATTGCTAAAATTGATTATTATATAAGTTAATGCAAATAACATGGAAAATGCAGCCAAATAAATACCAAATAGACTTCACGGCGTTTCAGGTGCACTCCCCGCAGGCAGCTTCGTCCACTCAGGGATCCAATGTAGCTTCCAAATATTTTGCCAGCATTCAACATTTTGTAGCTGTGAAAAGCAGTTTCCCAGCTGTAGCTTTGTCGTTGTGACTTTTGTAAGCAACTTTTCTGCCAACTCTCTGACGGTTAATTCAATCATACTATTTATTCCATTTATTTGCGTGATGTGTGCAGTACAACTTGGCCACACATACACCAACCTGCCGCTTCATTTCTGTGTAAGCGAATTTCATGAAAAAGTAACGACTGTACAGAGATTTTACCCTTAAATCGACCAAATTTTAATATTTAAATATTAGCTTTTGCAGAGTGTGACCGCGCAATTATCGATAAAATGTACCGACAGACCCTCAAAAATATACCGAAATATACAGTTTAATTTTTTAAATACACTACAAATATACCATAAATCATAAATCATTTTCATCGACTTTGATCTTCTGTTTAATATTACCAGCTGGTTAGGACTCTCAGCTTAAAAAATGTAATTTAATTCAAACCACCATTTTATTATCCCAAGATTGGTTAGCCTTAATGACTTCTCTTTCTTGGAATTTTTTTTTAATTTGGTTGAAAAATAGCTTGTCAAATTAAAGACGCATATAAAAATACCGAGAAATATCGATAAATGTCGTGGTGTTTTGCAAGACTGATTTTCATTTTTACTCTGAGCACGTGTGGTAACACTTTGTGGGCGCAAAAGGTGAGTGAATTTTAACTAAATCTATTTTACACAGAAATAATTGCAATTTGCACGAATAAGTTAAGTGTATGTTAGGTAATAAGTCAAATGTGAATGATATGGTATGAAATGAATGCAAATTCGAAGGGTTTGTCTGTGCCAAACGCAGACCAGGCCAGCCATTTACACAGATGCCCGTATGTAAATTTGTACACACGAAACCGTATTTATCTCGACGACATTATTAACATTCTGAATATAATATGGTGTGAAATGCCATGGAAACTATACGCAAATATACGCAATCTATGATTTTCAAAACTAATTTGTGTTTTTTTTGCAGAGCGGACAATGTTTGGCAGTCACTACACGGACAATGTTTACCGTTGGAACGGACATCCATGTGTGCATATGTAAGTATGAACATTAACGTAAATTCGCAAGGCGCATTTTTATTGATGAAAGATAATACTAAATGTGACAGAGGATTAATATATGATATTATTTACATTATTTGCAACCAATTACTACACATCTTGCAGATATTACCCCCCTGCCCATTAATCAAAAGAAATGTTACACAGTTTACTGTGCAGAATGTGTGTGCGCATACAGAATGGAATGAAGAAGAAATGTGGAAATGACTGGAATCGAAGCTCCAAATTCCAGTCCAGCACGTGGCAAGGCGGACCAAATGGAGACTGCAGGCGCCTACAAGCTGTTAGAGCTATAAAAAAAGGGAATCTTCCAGCCTAAAAACGCAGTGGTACGTATAAAATGGCATACAAATCAGACAGCAAATCAAAGGCCCCTGCTAAATAGCTAAATGTTGTACGTTCTGAAGCGCGAAGAAGAATTCATTGAAAGAAATAATTGTGGCAATATGAATGAGGCACTTTTTACATGAATATAAGCTCACCAATACTCAATCATATTGTTACTTTGCTCGTTTTGGAAGAAAATTGTATTTGTAATTGTAATAATACTCTCTGTAAGAGTACAATCATATTGAAGCGTGTGTGCCTCAGTTTTGTAATGCGTGTCTGCCCCCAATCAATGCACAACCCACAACCCACATGCATAGCGAAGCGGTCTTTCGATGCATTCATAGCTATGAACAACAATCTACTCCTAAACCCCATTGCCGTGGAGCTAAATCTAAAAATGAGCGAAACTCATCTGCAATTAAAAGTACCCTTTCATGCTCTATATCGATTGGAAAATGAAATTAGTTCTCGCTCATAAATGCAGCATAAATATTTATATTTTCCAAGCCAAATAAATCAAAACAGAACTAATTTCAGAGTCCAATTAGCGCCCAAAGAATTGTTCTAAATATGAAATCAGAAAATGTGAAATCTTACGACTTCCTTAGAACTAATTGAATAGATTTTCCACACTAATTTGTTTAGAGCCAAAGTCCGGTCTGGTTTGCTCTGGTCTGGTCTGCAAGCATCCTGTTTGGCTAGTTTCGTGGATGTGGCACATTAGCATATATTCTTTGCATACACGAACAGGATATGGGGCACACATTCAGGCTGAGACTGAGGCGGAGATCTGCTCCAAATTCTCGTTGTTCAATCTGTGCCTCAGATTCTGGTCGTTCTGGTCTACTCATCATCGTCGTCTTCCAGTAGATCGGGCGCAAAGAGATCACTGACTTCCAGAAAATATGCTAACTTCTTTGCAGCATAAATGCCCAACATTACTCCTGGTACAACATTCACCAGTATAAGGACCAGCGCCTTTGGTTCCTGTTCTGGCTTCGGTTTCACCCCGCCGTTTCTGTAGTAGGACCGAGACACGTCTTTGGGCCTACCTCTGAAGGCAGGATTTCGAAGACGATGCAGTAGCTGTAGCATTCCCGACTTCAACAATTTCAACATTTAAATCCGATGTAAATACAAATTTTGAATTTTTATAGCAAACATTTCTGATGGAAATATCAAAAACTTTCACCAAACCAAAATGGTTCGAAGTCACTCAAGAACCTCCTCCTCATTGGGCATGCGCGGCGTTGTCGTCGTCGTTGGAATACTTATTTGAGTGCGTGTACCCAATATGGCACTTCCGTTCTGTTGGCCGCAACCAACAACCAACAATTGGATTTGGTCAACCTCTCGCTCGCTGTCTGATTGTCACTTCTACACTTGGCCTACGTTTACCTCTTTTCGAGGGATGGCTGTGTTTCCAAATTTGGGTTCCAATTTTACCTCAAGAAGTATATTTTTATGATAGTTGTTTGTCAGAGCGTAGAAAGGATGAGTTCCTGTGGGGGTCTGTTAAGTTTCCCAGGGTTAAAAGTATTTTAAATGTAATTATTACACTTAAACTGTTGTACATTTTCACAGAAACTTTTTTCTAATAATCTATTCTTAAGTGTCTTCAATTATTCATACAATATTTTCAGAGGAATTCCTTGCCCTGCTCTAGCAGTAGCATGTCCGAGTTGAGGGAACATTAAAGTCGGCTGGGGGTGGCGATGGAGGCATTCTGGTGATGGCTAATTGTAAGTATGCACATCAGAAATTCATCATCCAGTACCTCTAATCATCTGGAAAAACATCCTCTTTTTAGGCACTCTCCCACATATGATGTATTGCTGTCGATCTGAAGCTGCTACCAGAAGCAGATATCCATCTAAAACACCTAAATTATACCCTAAAACCCTCTTTTAGGCACTCACCCATGACAAATTATGATGAGCATCTGTGCCAGAAGAACCCTAAATCAAAGGAAGTGGAACCCTAAGATCCCACATTCAACTAGAGATTGATTGATGGGCAGGGTTTCTAATGGAATGTTATGCATATGAACCTATAATTTGGAACGGCTAGAATAACCCGAGATTAAAGAGGGATAAACAGCACACAAAGTGCACCGAAATGAGTATAAAATATGTGCTAGCACCTCTTTTTAGGCACTCAGCCTTAACAAATGGTTATGAGCAATGGCAAAGGAAAACTAAATCGAAGGAAGTTTAATCGTAACGCCTATCACATTCAAAAGAGATTGATTGATGAAATCTTGAGCCTTAAGTTGCAGTAACAGACAGGAACTAGAAAGGGAACACACAGAGGATACACAAAGTGCCGTTAAATGCTTTTAGAATATATTCCATAATAATTATCGTGCTTAATAGGTGCCCTAAAACCTCGTTATAGATGTCTTCTCATCAAGAGTTGTGTAATGGAAATGAAAACAAAATATTTGATTGTTGGAAGGTTACGACCCGAAGGCCCTATAATTTCCCCTGGCGTCAGAACACTCTATCTTCTGAAGGACACAAAAGGAATAACAAACAGCCAGAGTGCTCGGAAAGGTATCCCGCTATGAGTAAGTGTAACATTCCTGCTTTTATGATCGCTACTTTTATTACTTGCTGCCGCAAACCCTTTTCGGCAAGGGTGCGTTGGCCAAACCCTTTTAAAAGTTTGTTGCTTAAGTCTTTCGCTTTGGTGCCCTAAGTAGATTCCGCTTCCGTTTGCCATTTCGCACATTTTGCGCCGCTTTATGGCCACTCGGGGTCTTCGGTGTAGTAAATATTTGAAAACAGCAACAGGCTGGCCGAAGTAGGAGGGTAAAACCCCGGATCAAAGGCACATGTGCCATCCGTGCAATTAGCTGAAAATTTCTCAAGAAAGAAAAGGACATCTAATCCTCTGTCCGCTTTTGAGCCCACGTACAGACGTACTCAGACGTTCGTTTGGCATTATTTGCGGCGAATTCGCCGGCATTTCCAGGCCGTGTTTTTGAGCCAACGATCGGCATGCCGGTTTGCTGCTATACTACGAGAAATCGGAAGCTTTTTCAGTATGCTTTCAACTGTGGCGCGTTGTGGACCGACGTTTGAGGCGCTGCGGATCGGCACAGTAAAAACGATTTAGACAAGTGTATGTATCCCTTATGTGTGTGTGTGTGTGTGTGTGTGTGTGCGTGAAAGCCGTTAAGAAGTCTGAGAAGGCCAAAAGAAAATCTGTAAAACGGGCGAGGGGGCAGGCACTGTTTTATTTTCCTTTCTTGTCTTACATTTCTACCTATCGGCTGCTTCTACTCCTCCTTCTTCGCTGTCTTCTTATTTATTTTGCTGTCGTGTCTTGTGGTAGTTGTGTCTGTGTGCGTGCGTGGTCTGAAACTTCAGGTGCAGGCGGTGGCCCGTCGTTGATTTTTCTTGAACAAGTTTCAGTCTGAGTCTGGCCTTCGTGTGGCATGGTACAGTAAACGGAATTTCTTTACGGATACATAGATCTCTCTCTCTCTTTGTCTTACTCTCTGTCTCTTAAGAATCTCTCAGTGTTTGTGCATTTTGTGAATGTATTCAACCTCGAAACTGGATTTTATTCAATTGTTTTCTTGCAATTTCCTCGTCTGTGTGCATGGGCAAAAAAAATGCAAGGATTTTTAATGGAAACGCGTGCTGGGATCTTGTGTGCTCTATGATCTTTAAATTTCCAACGTTTAAAAAAAAAACGAGCAATTTAAATGGATTTAGTGATTTATTGACGGATTAATAGTGTTTATAATTAAGGAACAGAATGAAACGTGAACCAAAATAAATCTACG